TTTTTTTTTTTTTAATTTAACTTATTGAGCTTTTTATTTCCAGAATTCCAATTTAATTTTTTCAGGATTTCTATATCTTTATTGAATTTCTCTTTCATATCCTGTCTTGTTTTCCTTATTTCATTCAGTTGCTTATTTGTATTCTCTTTTAATTCATTCAGATGTTTATGTATATCCTCTTTTATTTCATTAAACACTCTTTTTTTTTTTCCTTTTGGTGGTTCTGGCATTGCCTTTCTTTTTCTCCAGAAGTTGTCCTGTCACCTCTTTCATGATCCCCAATGTTCTTCCTCTCTTTCTTTCTTCAGAATATAGTCTCTCCTTTGTTATACTGATTCTTCTTATTCATGGTGTCAAACAGGGGAAGGTTCTAATCTGCCATCTTGCCTTCTTCAGGTAGTTTTCTCTTAATCTCTCCCATATACTGAGCCTAATGATTTGCACACATTAGTTGATGTATAAAGTGTATATTAAATATTTAGTCATATAATGCTTACTATGTTTGTGTATAATTAATTGGGTGTTTTCTTCTAGCTATCCAATTTATTTGCCAATAGTTATTCTGCATTCATTAAGTGGAATGAGATGGCAGATATGTACTGGGAACAGAGATAGGGAACACCTGTATATACTGGTTCTCCAACATGTGCCCTTCCTGAGATCTAATACATACATATAAACTAAAACTCTGTGTGTGTGTGTGTGTGTGTGTGTGTAATACTTGTTTACCCTGAGAGCTTCTTATTTATCATACACCATTCAGTAATATGTCAGAGTTCAAATGGGTACTTCTTATAATAATAAATGAGGCAAATCTCTAAATAATTTCCTTCTGACTTCCTTTTTTTGTTATTTCTGTGTTAACCACTTCCCTTTCATGCCCTAAATTGCAATTTTTTCATTATCAGAAATTTTACTTTGTGGGCCTCATTAAGGTGACTGCCTGTGCCAATGTTTTATGACAGCTAATAGAAATGATCTGTAAAGCCTTGGTGGTTCAGAGAATATTATATATGGATATGGAAAATTATAAGTTATGTAATAATTATTATAATAATAAATAATGTTTAACTGGTGCTATCATCATGTTAAGTACTGTGCTTTATTACTTTTATCTCATTTGACACTCACAATTCCATGGAATTTGTAAATTATTTTTTATTGCAGATATTAAAACATGAACTTCAGTTGAGAACATGGAGAAACAAGTTAAAATCCAAGGTAGCTAGTGATGGAAAATTTATTTCTCCTGAACAAAGTTCATCTGATGCTACTTTTGTAAATGCAAATATAGAATTTGACATCTCAATATTACCTGAAAAAGCAATATTACGGGTTTGTATGAATTCCTTATATATTATTTACAATAACCTTGCCATTTATGTATAGCTTGGAGTTAGAATAAGTATATTTTTTGCCCATTAGCTACTCTTTTACAAATTACCTGCATTTGTCTTGCCTGTTTTTCAGTTACAACTGAAATTTTCATAGTGGTTTGTAATAGCCCTATGTTTGGAATATATTTGAATACTTTTTTTGCTCCATACTTGAGGTCTTCACTTTTCCTGTGGAGTCTTTTGGTGACAGAAAATTTAAATTTTAGGTGGTAAAGTCTATCACACTTGCCCTAATTGTTTCTCTTTTTATGTCATATTAATGTGATGATATTAATGTCATTCATAATCGTTTTTTCTAACATACACGTTTTTCCTAGAATATGCTTATGCAGCTACTTTTTTTTCTGTGAACAACCTTTGCCTCTGACTGCTAATATTTCTTTTTATTTTATCAGTGACTGCTGTCAGGTTTATGTTACACATTTTCAAGATATCACAGATTACCTTCAAATAAAAAGTGGAGCGGCAAACATTATATGCCACTTTACATATAATGTAAGAACCTAATGACAGTATGCTTTTATTTTCCCCTTCCTGTGCTTTTAGCTAATATTACAATGTCTTTTGTTTCTATGTATTAATGAACTCTGCAATTTATTATTTTTGCTTAAAATTAAAAATTTTTAATTTATCTTTTTGGCAGTACTGGAGTTTGAATTCAGGGCTTCACACTTGCTAGGCAGGTGTTCTACTTCTAGAGCCACATCTCCAGCCCTTTCGCTGTGGTTATGTTTGAGAGGATCTTGCCTTATTCCTGGTCTGGCTTGGACCACAATCCCCCTATTTTATGCTTCCCATAATAGCTGGAGTGACAGATGTGTGCCATCACACCCAGTTTTTTTCCCTTGAGGTGGAGGTGTCACAGACGTTTTTTTGCCTGGGCTGTTGTGGAAACATGATCATTCTCTCAGCCTCCAGCAGCATTGGGAATGACAGAAGAGCACTGCCAGGTCCACATATTGGTTAAGATGGAGTTTTGCGAACTTGCTTTTGCCTAAGCTGATCTCAAACTATGATCCTCCCAACTTCAGCCTCCCAAGTAGCTAGGGTTACAGGCTTGAGTCACCATGCCTGTCTACTTTTTTTTTTTTATTTTTAACAATCTCAGACTTACAGAAAAGTTGCAAGTACCATACAAAGAATTTTTCTTCCTGGACAATTTGAGAGTCAGTTGCCAACATGATTCCCTCTCCCACCTGTATTGGTATATTTCCTATAGATGAGGGTATTTTCTTCATCATGATCCTCACACCCAATTCAGGTTTCTTCAGTTGTCCAAATGTTCTAGCAAGAGGATCCAGTCCAGATCACATATTGCAATTGATTGTCATATCTCCTT